CGTGTACCAATAACGCAGGATACGCGTACGTACACTTTTATGTATTTCGTATATACAGATGTAGCATAAGAGTGTACGATCACGCGTATACGACGTGTCTCAACGGTGCGGCCTACGGTGCTCGATCCGAAATTCAATTAATTGCTAATTAATCACATATTGAACATAAGACATTATCGTTATACTTCATTTTTTCTTATATATATATGTTATCCTCGTTAGTCGGAAGTCGACTTTCAATAATACACACTACATATTATATTGTGTTACAGAGAGAAGCCCGATGAGATTTCCGCTTCGTGGATTTTCCGGAAAGACGGTAAGTCGAGCTCGGATTTTTGACATAAATACGATCCTTTCAAACGAGAAATGATTCGCAGCGACGCGATATCACGAAGAGGATTTAATGTTCTCTCGCGGGATTAAAAGGTTGTGCATTTGCCGTCACTATTCCGCTGGCGACGACGTCGTTCATCGAGTCTCTCTTGAAACTTTTCCACTTATTGTTAGATTTTCGCGTAACAAACGAAACCGCCGGTTTATCGTCGGCTCGAGCACCGCGGGTAGGGCCATGCAACAAGAACATCGCAAATCGCATCAAACGACTCAATCATAAACCATAAACGAAGTGGACAAGAATATATCTTGCGAAGACTGTGGAACGTAGCAAGGTTCCCTTGTAACAGTTCAGCCAACCAAACAACTGTGACGAGCTATAAAAACGTAGGTTAGTAGGCCGTCTATGTGTGTATACTATTGTCACTTGTGTGTATATATATCTCCACGTGTATGAACGTACATACATGAGATGTGTATATGTATGTGTATAGCTTAGTATACGTATGGCTGTGTGTCGATATGCCCCTTGCTGCCGACATAAACATCGCTATGCGAGTCGCATGTATTTCCCCTGGTGCACCTTTCCGCGAACAGATATCGAGAACGACTCGAGATTTAAGCAGATGTGAACATATGCACGCGAAGATATTGCTAGTTTACGATGCTACTTTATATGAGACTTTACGCGTGAAAAATTAATACGTATAAAAAACATATATATTTCTTTTAACCGTACGCGTTCTATGACTTTTCGGTCGATGTACTACTTCACGAATGTATGATATTTTTATTACTATTGATATTTTTATTACATTCAACGATCTACCAATGAAATTTCGACGGTCTACACGGAATATCTACATATGTTTCGATTGACATAGATATTTTTACATGAATATCCGTGTCATTGTTATGCAGTAACAAACAAACCGAAACAGATGATACTCTATCGGAAGCAAGTGGCGCGACTGGTAAGCTGATTTGATCAATGATGGTGGGCGTCGTCGGTTCCACGATAGGCACGCTCGATGTATGACGATCGGTCCAATTAAACGTCAGAGTTAAACATTCTTTTTCAAGCGATATCGACACAATTTTGGCATTACGATCGAGCGTGGACTATCGCAATGCGAAACGGCTGTGTCGGGCGGAAATGGGCGTTCCCGTTGCTTTTTTATACGATGGATACGAGCGGGTTGGGAGAGGAGAAGGTGATCGTTTGCGAGACTGGACGAAATAAATGAACGGGCAATTGTCGATGTCGAGTTTGTATGAGTTTGAATGCAAACTGTACCATCAACACCTCGGACACGGAGCTGATGCTGAGGACATACATGGTGACGCCGACCTCCACGGGCGGACCTGTAATCAACAAAACCATCCGGCCTTGGTCGCTGTGATTACCCGCCAATCTCTATTCAATCGTGTACGACCTATCGTGTACGAGATAAATAGATATCTAGAGACTTGTAATAATAATAATAATAATAATGACGAATCTATCTTTACCTCTGACTCACGCGCGCTTTACTCCCGCGTGAAATTTGAAACTTAGGCATCCTCTAAAGTACTTTTGAAACCGTCTCTACATCGTATTGCGTACCATGGCGCGTTTTGCATGTTGTACGCGAATGAATCTATCGGAGGAAAAAACTAACGCGAAACTAGCGCTCCGATACAAATCCATTGATATAAACCGCGAGTATACTCGATAATGCGCGGACGAATTATTCGGGCATTTTTTTTTCCTCGCCCCTCTCGTGTCTTCGGATAAATCGGACAACACCGTTCATGCGCGGAGAGGGAAATCATATCATTCACGCGCACCTATCCGTGTGAGCCAGAGGCAAAGCACGAACGAACAAGTCGAGGAGAGCTCACACCCTGCACGGAACCAAATCAACAGGACTCGTCGTCGGCCACGTTGCTTTCCAAGCTAGAAGAATCATCCATACTTGTCTCGTTATATAGGCATTATGCTCTTACGTATATATTACATACATATCACAGCCACGTAGCAGTATGACATTACCTTACTACTACTTTTTTTTTTCGTTTTGTACCGCGTCGCTTTATAGTGGTTTTACTTTACTTTTCGTTCTCTCACCCTTTCGTTCTCTCTTTCGTTCTCTGTGCACTTTTGCATTTTGTTTTTGCCGATCATTCGTCACGTCGTATTCCAATTAGATTCATTGTGGCTATATGTGTACATATTCCGGAGAAATATGGCTTGTTTTATATTATCGTTTTTTCGCCCTATTATTAATTAGACGCTCTTCCGATCGAGAGCGTCGTCTTGTTGAACGTTCGTCGAACGACATCGTTACTTTACACTGAATTGCTGTCATTGTCATTGCGGTCGTCGATTCCGGGCGAAATCTATTTTTTTTTAACTTCTAAGGGGGATGTAAGGGAAATGCCTCGAATACCGAGAGAGCTGCTGGAAGGAATTCGGATGGATAACGATCGAAGCAAATCGATCGCGGATTATTCTCTCTCGCGTGTTCGTACACGAACGCGTGATACGTGCGGTGTTTCGACAGAGAGATAACAGAAGTGTCGGGGATTTCTTTCGGGGGTGGTGGGACATAGAATAATAATAATTGTAAGTAATGGCAGGCGGCAGCCCATTTCAGCAACCGCGGCATAGCAGCTAGAGCGTCTAAAAACGGTCTAACGGGACGGTCGTGCGTATTTAATATATATTGAACAAAATACTATTTTTTTCTGAGAGCAGAAAGCAATAAAAAGACGCTCCTCATTCACGTTCTCTCTAACACTACGTGACGTTCGGGGCAGCCCAGGCTCAAAGTCAGGCAGGAAATCAGTGAACTAACTTTTCCACGCCCGCAGAAAACGAAAACGTAGTTGGAGCAACTGAGAAAATTTATCTTATTGGTTCACAGTTCTGTAAAATTCTTTTGTTAGTATCAATAATTTTAAGGGCGTTTTACGTCAATACAATTCGCGCATATGAATCTTGTCAAACGTCTAGTTGAGAGATTATTTTCGAAATAAATCTAGTTTCCATTAAACGGAAACTACACCGCAATAATTTAGAGCAAGTCTAGTTGGTTGTGTTTCTTTTTTTTTTCGAGATTTAGCTCGATTTGCGACCTCAGCCACGCAGTCTCGCTGCTTTCAGTTGCCGAAACTACAGGCCCGTTTCTCGAGCGAGGAACGAGGACAGCCAGTATATATTATCTGAAATATGAAATAGTACTTTGTCCATTTTTTTAGTATATATTTTTGTTTCTTTCTGTTGCTCGCTACTAAAGTGTACGTGTATGTCTCTGTATGTGTATGGGAGAAATGCGTATTAGGTCATACACGCGCACACTTATTCCTACGTCGGTGTAAACCGGTACCGCGATAAGCGACGAGCCACATGGTACTACAATATATCAAATGAGTTAGGAGAGACTCTGCTCGGTTAGCTTCATTTCAGTAGTTTCGAAGTGCAAGCGGTAAACCACATCGCGTAATCACCATAACGCGCGTTGCGAAGTGCGTCTTAGATATATGGTTTACTAAATTGATGTTTACATACTAATCAAATAAAAGTTTCTATCATGCCTGCACATAGAAAAAGATTTCTTTAAGTTTAACAAATGTAGTCATTGCAATAGTCCAATCAAATCGGTTCTTTAAGAAATGTATAATAATTAATTACATTCAAATTAAATTTTTAGGATTAGATAAAATAATGTTCATTTAAAATTAAATTGTTTTAATGAAATAAATATAAATAGGAGTTTTGAGTGTAAAATAAATCATTTTCTCCGTATGTGAGCAACAAAATATCTACATGTCAAAATATACGATTGAAATAATTTTGCCATTCTGTGAACTAAAATGAAAGAAAAATATCACGAAGAAGGAAAGATTGATTATTAGAGGAAAAATTGTCGATATGTACAATAACAATTGTCATTTTTCTTCTTGCTATAAATCATTAGTTCTCGAGTGTATTTCAACAGTCAACACATTTGAAGATGAGATATCAAATAAAAACATAAATTATAATCTGAAGTATCATCGAAATGTCATAAAATCAAATAGATGAATAGCAATTTTCTATAATTAATAAATGATAGAAATTTTGCGTTTTATCACATGTCTAGAAATCATGAATTTGTATTTCAATGAATGAATATGTGTTTTGATATTTTTATTCCTTTCATTGAATCAAATCGAAAAATATAAATCTCGATTAATAATCTGATCCGATTAAAAGCATTTAAAAGCAGAGGAATTTTCACTTCACATTTAGACGTATTTCATTTTAGAGATGCGCTATTCGTAATGTTGAAGAACTATAGAATTGGCAAAGCACCGATTAGTTTTCTTCTACATTGAGTTTAATTGGCTCCGAAATCACTGTGCCAAAAAATTGGATGTCGCCTCGTATCGGCGGACGAGAGATCCTCGAAGCGAGCATAGAATCGTTACGGTAATCGTGTTACCCGTTTTCGCGATCCCAAACGTCGTTGTTAAATGAACAGCACATCAAAGGAGAAACACATAGCCCAGAGCGATGCGGTTCTGCGCGTGCAAGTTAATTCATTTCATCGTCGGAGTATCTATCAACGAATACACGACAATACCGATGTAATGACGACTGACCGGAATCGTTGAGAGTGTTCCACTCGATTCACCGAAGATCGAATTTCTTTCGTACGCTAAAAAAAGAGTCTTTGCTACCAAATGCTGAATAAAATAATTTCAACTAAATATATTTAGATATATACGTAATACCAAACATAATTTTACAAATATTTAGCAAGTATTATCATTGGTAATATCGTTTGATAATATTTACTAAATATTTGTAAAGGTAAAATTATTTAATTATATTACAATTGATTGAAATTGTTTCACTTAACAATTGGCAGGTATAACGAGACTCTTTTTTCGGTATACTAAAACAAAGCTTGTAGTGCTGTAATTAATCAATCGTTACATTGAGAAAAATATTTGGTTAAAAATGGACGAATCAGAAAATTCTGATTGTATCAATTCCATTGCGATTATTCTAGTAGATTTAATAAAAAAATTTCGATGTGTCCATTTTCAGACCAGAATTCCAATTAATCCAGCTAGACATT